AAGAAAGGACTTCTATCGGTAAAGTTTCTGCGGAAAGAATTTTTACGGAAAATTAACTAACGAACGGAGACGTAACAATATTATTCAATCGCCCCCTCCAGTAGCACAGCGGAATGTCTGCGGACTTACAACGCTAGAATCCGGGTTTCGATACCCGTGGTGGGCAGAGCACAGATAGCCCATTGTGTAGCTTTGTGCTTAACTTCAAACAAACAATTATTCAATCTGTTACCAAGGTCACCGTAATTGCCAAATGAAAGTCAAATCACAATTATCTATATATATATTGAGTCGTCATTATACGCCCCCCCCCCAGTGGCATAGCGGTATGTCTGCGAACTTACAACACTAGAAACCGGGTTTCGATACCCGTTGTGGGTAGAACACAGATAACCTATTGTGCAGCTTTCTGCTTAAATTCAAAATAAATAAACAATCATCATTATATAAAAAAGTATAGGGATAGTAAAGACGTAAAACATTCCATAAGAAAAGAGTAAAAAATAAGGAAAGGTACGAAAATTTTCTTGGATAAATCATTATTTCTTTGCTAATTGGCGTGCTAGTATCTCATGAAAACAACATATAATCAGCAACTTTAACTGTCACCAGGGAGAACTAGAGAATTACTTCTATTAAATAGCAAAAATCTTTTTTTAAACCGTAGATTTCTCGAGTCTTTAATTCAAAGACATACTGCTTATTCAATATTAGTGTTGATTACTTTTTACAGTAAGTTCTGCGAGAATTCAACAGAAACTTTATTAATAATACTCTCGTGTCTTTGTCAGAGACTTATGACATCACACCATAATGACCCTTGACCTAGTGTGTTGCTAGCACCCATAAGTAGCAGGTAGGTAAAACGACTTTTTTACGCTGTACAGTCAATTAAGTTAACGAAATTGTAGAGCCTTAATGAAAATTACGTGTTCGTAAGAATATAGACTAAGCCCAGACTCTATATGTAGTGACAGTGGGGCTCTTGTATAGTTAGGCTATACCCAATTAAACATAATCCTGCTCAATAACTTCTACATAAAATAGATTTATATTACTGCTTTCTACGTAGGCCTAATGTATGACTTAATTAGTTATTTCGCCTAGTACTATAGATCTAGTAGAAACTAATTTTTTCTGTTATAAGAATTACTGAAGGTATAATGGAGTTTTATGATGATTTTACTGCAAGATCTAGAGCTAATGTTACTTTATTAAATTAGATATAGGCCTAGATATGTAGATCTAGGCTATTCTAGGGCATAACGTTAGGGATAAACGTAATTTAAAGTAAAATCTATATCTAGTGTAGGCCTAATCATAATTAAATATATTTTAGTATTGTCACTTACGTGAAAGTTGAGACAGTCTCTGGTAGATCTGTTTGATACAGCAATGTAGTTAACTTAAACTGCAGATTTCACCTTTTTAATGCAGTATATCAAGAACTCGCAAATATACTTTTTGATGTATAACACATACTGAGTTTTGACTACTTCTGAGAAACTGAATGAGACCATGCCATGTTGACTTATACATAGGGGTGGTGATACTAGTTCATATTTCTAATAATAAAGTTTAGCTGTAGTTAATGCAACTGTGCTAATATGCTATAAATTGCTGGTTATAACAGTTGTATAATATTCACACCAATAAAATGAGAGACACATGTTAAGATGTTTATAAGACTAAATTCTAACAACTCATCCACTGCTAAAAAGAAATTTAGAATGGAATAGACCAGACGTACTACTGCTGCAACATGCTAGAGTAATATATGTCGTCCGTGACATTTAATTACTGGATAATTGATATTAGTTTCAACCTTTAAATTTATATACGTAACTGTGTGCGTTTTTGCACATAATTAACACATCTTGTTAGTGCAACAGATATACAGGCATACCATGCGTTTTCTCCCTTCTTATTTTTGTGTAGAATGTTTAAAAAGATTAGTATATTCTAAGTCTATGCAGTTTTTCATAACGTGTGATCAAGAAAGTTTTTAAGTTAATTTTCTTTTAGCTGCCTTTATTTCTTTGTCATTCTATAGAGGTAAAACCTACTCTGCCCATGTGAGCGGTATGTCTGTAATGTTGGATAATGTGCAAGAATGTCGACAACCATTGTCCTCAAATGGTAATCAAGTGATATTACGAGATTATGGCCTCCCATATGTTTGAATGAGAATGACCAGTCACGCATCACTATGTGTAAATTTGACACTGCCCACTTAAGTAAGAAACGCTAGTTTTAAACATCTAGGTACCAGATCTTGAGTTAATTGGTCAGTGGGAATACATTTCGAGGGAAGAAGGCCAGTCTAATCAACTCACGAATCCTGTGATTACCATCCAGTTAACATCCATAAAGCAAGAACACACTGTGTTTTGTGTATTTGATGAATAAAGATAGTAAAGTATCCAGTCTATTTAGTTCTTTATACAAACTCAGACAGTTTTTACTAAATTCGGTACTTCTTGATATTTTCTGCCAGTCCTCCTGTTATATTGAGGACCTACCTAATATCATTTGAGGAAATCAATTTCACCTGAAAATAACATGTATATAAGTTCCAAACTATGGAAGTGGACCCAGGACCAGCTACTCTCTCAAGTGGTGTTTAAACTTGTACTATTGTAATTGCCCACGACGTTTCCTTTGGTTTATTTTCCTTTCACAACACAGATCATGGGTTCAGCATCTTACTTCTCCAAATCAATGACATATAATCCAGTCAAATCTTTCATCTAAAATTTCACAAGTCTTCTTAAAACCGAGGTGTCCGTAGTTGGGAGACTGTAGAAATGACAAAGGGCTTATGAATAGAGTGATTTAAAGAATAGCATAACTGTTGAAAGGGTGCGTGTGGAAATAAAATGCTTCTGAATGGATTGATCTGAGTAATAGCAGATGAAAAAGGTTTTGTGGTCTAGGATCTTCCTATTTTTGTTACTGATATCAAATTTTGATATTAGGCTGTGAGACAAAAGAAGCTACCATTTGATAACACGGTCTTCCTTCCTTACGTTTCATATATTAAATAAATTGTCCATTAATAGAGACCTTAGCCTTATCTTCTTAAAGTTTATTTCTAAAACATTTTAATTCAACACTATTCTATACAATATCTTCTCGAACTTAGCTTTCCTTACTTCAAGATGTGTTGATTTTCTTAAAATGATCTCAGCATTGATAAACTTCTTCATTGCAGTAATACTTTCTTAGCAATGGTTCATTATTTTCATAATTCTATCCATACAGCACACATAATTTCTTTTTTGGGTGGCGTAACTACCTTTCCCATGGCTGAAGTACTGGTATATTCAGGTTAAAAGTGGTTTTCTGACATGTGTAAGATAGTAAGACCCACTAATAATAGTTAGAAGTATTGTGTATACACACAAAAATTTAACAACAATAGATTTTTCAATTAAGTATTTTTACTTAAGATTTGTCCGTGAATATATGGAGTCAGAGTGTTGACCAGTACAAGGTGATTTTCATGTTAAGTTTAAAAAACATTTTATTCGTACACTTTTAAAATTTAATTTGCATAAACTTCAAAACCTCCTAAATGAATATCAAAGTTTCTTCAGTAAATTTTAATATTTGTCTGTAATTTTCTTTACCCTAACTGTATGTGGACTCGGTTGTTTGGACCAACTTTGTAATCATCATAAAAAATACGAAATAAACCTAAATTACACTTTTTTCATTTTAAAATGTGTTTACATTGTAACAAACAGTTACACAACACTTACTTTTACAGCTGAAGCTAATGAAATTTTTATCTGGTTTTTATATTTACAATTGAACTTGGAAGTTGAAAATTTTCAGATGAGGAATATTATTTTTAATCTTAACATGAAAATCACTTTTACTCTCAGAGCAGTCAATACTTTGACTCCATGTATTCACGGACAAATCTTAAGTCAAAATACTTAATCAAGAAATATTTTTTGTGTGTATTAAAGAGTTGTAATGTTTACTGAAAGCTTGCCAAATTTTGTAGGTTCTGCTTAGTTTCACAGATTTCACTATGACTTTTTGTTCTCTCACAGCATTGGTCGGCTTTAACATTCAAACAACATCAACTCAACCAACAAAGAATATTACAGTCGCTAATACTTTTAACCCGGATGTTATATGTTGCTTCAGTGTCCTCTCGCTCAGAATAGATATTATTTGCTGTAGAGAACAAAGCAACTAAAACAAGACAATATCAACGACTTTGTGGACAACGTGTTTACGCAAAAATGACATACACACTAAAGAAACAATTTTTGAAATTCTTATATAACTAAAGCAAGTAGATAATATGTGATGTGCTTGCATATCACACAACTTCAACGTGAAGTGCTCAGTACTTTGCAGCTCCAATTATTACAATATCTTGTGATTCTATACTCTAAACAAGGTTTTCGGCATTAGGTGTCTTTTTGTTGAAGAGCGCACACTGATTTACGGATTAATTTTTGTAAACTGTTTGGACATTTTGCTTTTCTTGATCAAGAAATTCACCATTAATTGACAAGATAGTACGCTATTTTGGCCTAATGTTCTACGTTTTCAATGAGCAACCATCATGGATTCCAGCTTCATATGAAGATAACATCTTTCTTCCAAGTTTGACACAATTGTATCATTTTACATATTATCCCTAAACTAAAAGTGTACCAGTGAATCCTTGATTGGTTTTTGAGTATAATAAGAGCACAACGTGTTCCAAAGCTTTTAAAATGGTTATATTTTTAATGAAATAATGAATAACATTCTCACGATTCCATAGGCATGTAGTTGTTTTAGGCTACCAAAAATAAAAAATCTTACTTCGTGCTATCTTACAGTTGAAATTTCGTACAAGATGTCGGACCCCCGAAAAAGACTTTCTTGATACATGCGTGGTAGCAGAGGTACCGTATTCGTGACAAAAAAAAAAACATTTTTGTTGTGTAATTAGAAAGAAAAAAGTATTCCATTTTTCATAACATTTGTACATATTGAAATCAATACATTTTCTACGACTCAAATGACTGGGAATTGCAAATGAATGAGTGCTTTTAAAGTAACATGACAAAGTTTGATGACGAAGAACCCACTTTGAAACTAACAAGTCATCTTAATTGAACAACACAGTTCTACTTTAAATCAGCACCTTGGGGCGCTAAGATACCTTTACTTAGCTGTTGAACAATCTCCGGTCTTGTGACTTCTTCCTTTCCTATTCTCTACACATTCCTCTTTCTAGGTAAGCTACTTGTACCTGACAAAACCTTGTCTAAAGGTTGTACATTTACTACTGCATTAGACTTGTACTAAAGTTTTCTTCGTTTCCCATTTAAACCATCTCTAAAATTCATTAGTGCAAAAACGATCACTTTCTGTTAATTTCAATAAAGTTCATTTCACCTTTCTGTTGATCAGTGTCAATGTGGTATTCCGTTCAAATTTCAATATGATAATATTTTATCTATGTATGCTTTGTTTTAACTTATTAAAATATAGTCTTCATATTATCATTCAAGTATTATGATCATGAACTTTTTGTCTAAGCATGTTACAAAGATTATTGTCTTCATTAATGATCAGGTACTCCTCAATATCTTAGCAGGAAGTCCGAAGGCTTGTAAAGGTAAAAAATCGGCTTTCGATACCCGTGCTGGGCAATGCTCAGATAGCCCACTGCGGTTAACCTCAACCAATAATTAGATACTTTTAAGTTGGTCCCCCAGTGGGACAGTGGTAAGTCCACGGACTTACAATGCAAACATCCGAAGTTCCTGGGGATTTATAACATGTGGCGCCATCTGTCGTTAAGTAACTAATATTACTCAATGTTTAAGTGATTTATGATTTAGATATAATATCACAATTTGTTTATTTGTAGTTAAGCAAAAATCTACACAAAGGTCTATTTGTGCTGTGCCCAATACGAGTATCGAAATCTGGTTTTTGGCGTTATAAGTCTTCAGTCTTACCGGGGAGGGGGGCATAACATTACAGCTGGTATTAGCTACACATGGAACTTCTTAATAGTTGGTATTAGCTACACATAGAACTTCTCAACAGTTGGTATTAGCTACACATGGAACTTCTCAACAGTTGGTATTAGTTACACATGGAACTTCTCAACAGTTGGTATTAGCTACACATGGAACTTCTCAACAGTTGGTATTAGCTACACATGGAACTTCTCAACAGTTGGTATTAGCTACACATGGAACTTCTCAACAGTTGGTATTAGCTACACATGGAACTTCTCAACAGTTGGTATTAGTTACACATGGAACTTCTCAACAGTTGGTATTAGCTACACATGGAACTTCTCAACAGTTGGTATTAGTTACACATGGAACTTCTCAACAGTTGGTATTAGTTACACATGGAACTTCTCAAGAGTTACAATTAGTTACACATGGAACTTCTCAATAGTTGGTATCAGCTAAACACAGTAGCAGGGTGCAATTCATTGAATTTTCAGTGGGGGGTGTAGGACACGAATCGTCTAGGGTGTATGGGGTGGAGCACCAGTCACCAACGAAGTCATTGAGGTTTAAGCATAAAATGATCTATAGAAACTGTAATTTGGTTATAATATCTGATACAAGTATCTATATTTTTAATTAAAATATCTTCAAAATAAACAACGACATAAACGTGTGTGCTACAAAAGAAAAAATCGACATATTTGTGTAATACACTAATATAAAATTAAAAAAATTGATCATTGTATATTGTTTTAATTTTACAAATTTTACTTCCGATACAAACCTGGCAAAGTAACATTTAATTAAGATCATAACTAAGGATCTTAATTTTTTTAATGGGAAGAAGTATAATAAGAATCCCTGATTTACAAGTACAGATATATAAGATATGTTTACAGCTATATGTTTAACAAAAGATTTTTTGATAAGTTATTCAGTGTTTGGAAAGAGTTTTAGTAAATATTACAGCAATAAAAGTTTAGAAATTAGTAGTCAGAACTAAATATGGACTCAAAAACAGTGCACAGGTTGGTAACCGAGTTTTATCTGTGGTAATAATCCATGAAAAATGCTTTGTTTAGATCTAATATGTTCAATATTCATATAGAATACAAGTTTTAATTACATTAATGCATTTTGTTAAGTCATAATAAATCTACAGGTTTAATGAATTAATTTGTCCATAACAATTTGATTTTTAAATACAATAGCAAAGAAATTACCCTTTCATTAATTATTCACAATGAAGAGCAAACTTCAAGTGCTTGCATATAGAAGTCTTTAAAGACAGCTTATATGTAATTGAAATAGTTTATGCAAATACCTGCCTATATAAAACACATTCTTTAAAACCTTCACTACATGAATTTAACAAGTCAACCAAACATCTCACTTTCTTAGGAACCCTACTTTAAAACACAGATTAATAAACTGAAACTTATACTTCCATTTATATCATGAAATTCATTAATACCATATTCATGTGTGCTTACTATAAATGAAAAATTTGGCTATAACTTTATTAATGAAATGAAATTTCAATTTTATTTCGTTTCTTATATCAGGTTCTAGTTTTCCACAGTCACTACATTATAATGGCTATTAAAATATCTAATCTGGTAACTAATAGCTTTATTCTTCTGTGTCATATTTCCATTAGTGATGATGCTCTTCTGTAATATATAAAAAACAAATAAGGGTTATTTTTACAAAGACACTGATTGATTCTCATTAAAATCATGAAATTCACAGAAATTTCTATGTATAATCAAATATATTTCAACTTATACACTGAATGTTTAAGGAAAATCTTTCAGCCTTACAAAAAAAAAAAAAGGTATACCATCAAGTTTTCCAACAACCATGTAAGAGTAGTCTTTTATGTAGCTAGAATGCAGTAAATCAGGTGACTATATAATAACTAATTGAAGTATGTAATCTGTTTCTGTGTTGCAGATTTTATCAGTACACATAAAATAAATTAACTTTTATAATCATCCAATACCTCAATTGGCAGTTAAACAGTCCAACTGTATTAGACACTTGATCCAACCAACAGGTATGGGACAGGACTCTGGTTTGAGTAATGTTTGTATTTCAATAAGATACGTACAAAGAAAATTTTGATAAATACAATAGAAAAATGCATAATTTTCAAAGATTTCGTGTGTTCACTCTCTTTGTAGGGTAATATGTCTTTATTTCAATGCACATATAATACCAGACTCTGCAGAGATACATATATAAATTTTTTTAATAATAGTTTTGTCCATCATATAGTGGAGAACTCAAGAAATGTTGATCAGGAAGCTGGATATCTAACAAAAGTCCCTGGAGGAAGACTTCTATGACTCACAGCAAACACCAATCGAGAAGTTGGACTTCAAGTAAAAGCCCAAAAATATGTACACAAGCTGACATGTGTACAATGGTGTTTATCATGTATTTTAAATGTAGTCATTTTTCATTAAGATCATCACCATTACAGTACTATAATATTCATTTATGTACTTGCCAAAACTGCTTTATTTTTTTTAATACCATTTGCTTCATATGCTACAACTGCACTCTAATGGCCATTTTTATAACCAAAGAAACATAAAAAGACGTCACAAGTGAGATCACACTAAAATATAGCAGGGAGTGAACAAAAATGTATAAAAACAAACTTTCTGACATATAAAAATGGCTATGAGTAAGTAATGGTGAAGTGCATACTAAAAAAAAATGCAAAACCAAACTTTTGAGTTTGCTCCTTTGTACATTACCACAATTTGGGAGAAAAAAGCAAAATGGAACAACTTCACAATATGGTTGTTGTTAGAAACACATTTCCTCAACCATAAAAAAGTTATAATCAACATAATGTTAAATTTCAAATTTGACAAAATATAAGAATTACACAGACACGTCTCAGTATATTTCATAAAATAAATAAAACTCTGATAAAAAAGTACGTTACAAAGCAAAAAAACCTGAGTTCAAAAATGTTTGGGAGTACTGTTCAAGTTTGAGATATGGTTTGAATAACGTTTCACTGAGAGAGAGTGATTATACAGTAGGTTTAGTCACAAACGTCTTGCAATTCTACACCTGAATTTTAAGTAGCATATAAAAGAAAAGCTTATAAAACAAAGAAGTATTTCTGCTTTTCTTTACTGTAACAATTTCCAAAAAGGTCATTCAAACTAAACAGGAATATACAGACACATTAATAAGTCACAAATTACCTGCAGCTATTTTTCTTTGTCTTTCTTCCCATGCTGCAACAGCTGCTGGAGAGTTAACTGTAAAAAACAAAACACTAACTTGTATATCTTTTACAAGTATCTTACATTACAAAAGTTCACCCTGACTTGACTAATAATAACATTTAAGAAGAAGTGTCTAACAAGACTCTAACATCCACTTCAAAAAAGGAGAGAGAGAAACTCAAATCTGGCCATGATCATTCAAATATTTATTGAGCCTTCTCTTAAATTTCATCACATCTGAAGGCAACCCATTACAAAACTGTTACAAAAGTAAATCTGTCTATGATGAAGATAACGCCTACCTTGACAAATTTGTGTCATTTTATCCTATCACTAAGTAGGAAAAAGATAATTAATATTTCCAATTCCCTTAAATCTCCTCTAACCTCCTCCCCTTTTTTTTCTCTCAAGAGAAAACAATTTCAGAGGTCTTAACCTTTCCTTGTATAACAATCTTTCTATGTTAAATGTTATCCTAGTAGTTCTTCTCTGAACCCTTTACAACAATTCAAAGTCCTTCTGAAGGTAAGGAGCTAAACATGACACTGCAAATGAAACCTATTTAGTGATCATACAATGAAATAACCTTTTTTAGGCAATATTTTTGTAAAGACAATCCAAAATCCTTTTTGACCTACCAACAACAATGGAAAATGAATCAATATAATTGATCACCTATTAAAATCAATTACATCAATAATTAGTGTCCTGTAAAATAATTAATTGTAATTATGATTAAATCATTATTTAATGTCAGGAAAATAATCAACAAGTGTTTCCGATTATTACCATTTTCAGTTGTTCTAGCTATTCAGTATTATCAAAATAATGATATGATTTTTCCTTAAGTTTGATTAATTCTAGTTCATTGAAACTAGGGTTTCAAATTATTATTACTTTATGATTGTTCCACCTATCCCTGTAATTGAAAAACTGCCATTATATTTGTTTGTTGCTAAGCAGAAAAGATACACAATGGGTTATATATGCTCTGCCCCATTGTGGGTATCAAAACCTGATTTTTAGCATTAGTTTTAATTTTTTTTTGTCAACTTCTGAGAATAATTAGTTTGTTTATTTTAGCCATCTTTTGAAAATAATCAATTAGCAAATTCCACTACGTGCTCAGCTCTACTGCTAGCATGGCTTAAGAAATGGCTCAACCAAAACACCAAAATCCTCCTTCTCCATGACAATGTTAAGGTTATTTCCTAACAAAATTAAACTTATAATTTAAACTATGATACCTTGCATTTATTATAATTAAAAACCATCTGCTATATATTCATCCACCTCACCAAATGTTCTAAATCCTTTTGTAAAGCACCAGCATTTTCCTTACAGCCAGCAATACCCAATGCCTTAGTATCGTCAAATTTAAGCATTTTGTTAATCACTTCATTATCTATGTCATTGAGATTCCCCACTAGTGACATTAATCCAATTTGACTGAACTCCATTTATAACACTGTGCTTTCTTCCTTCCAGTCACTTGTGATCAAACAATCCAATTTATCCTCTACACACACACACACACACAATTATTTTAACAAGTCTTTTATAAGGCACCTTGTCAAATGTTTTCTGAAAATTCACATAATCCAAATCTACACCTTTACCCTCATCAACATAACCAGTAACCTCTTCATAGAAATATAACAAATTTAATAGCTATAATTAAGTTAGTTGATCACTACTAGTACCAGAATTTAAGATAGTTATATCCCTTTTACTTAAAGGCATTGGAAAACTATAGGAATATGGATTAACTTGAGACATCAGGACCATCCAGAGAGAGAGAGACCTGTAATAAATCATACTGCAAACATGGTAAGCAAATTGTAGCATCTGGTAAAGAATTTACAAACACAAAGGTCAGTAGCAAAAGATATCAACAGGCCATAAGTAACAGTATGCAGCATAATCAAGAAGGAACCTTGTCAGGAAAAGTGACAATAGTCACATGTACACAACACAACTTGATCCATAGCATGTCCATTCACTCATTATATACCTCAAGCAGCTGAAAAATAAAATAAGTATTCTTACTATTCCATAGAAAGACAACACCAGTCAAGTCATCAATAGATTTCTGTGCAATTGGACTTCTGAAACAGATGCTTGGAAACAATCATTCTCATACACTAGATGCATTATGGAAAGTTCTTAGTGAGGAGTTGTAGGCTTTGGACATGAAAGTCTTACACCAGTCTTTTGTGATGAAACTTGTTTGGCAGGGCTATTGTCAATAGTCATGATCTTCAAATAAAGCATGGCATGACACCATGGACTATAATGACACAACTAGGCTCCAAAATAATCTTAATATAATGTACTTAACCTCTTTACTGTCTCATTCTCTCTATGTATAAGCAAGAAAAATAGCTTTTCCTCTACACAGTATTAATATTTGAAGTTTTTAGTGCTTTTAGTTTATTAATCTGGCCATTGCTTGGTAATAAATAAGCAAAAAATATCTTGTTTTAATGTATGATGAACAATGCCTCTAGTCTATTAACTTGTTTATATCTTGTAAAAAAATACCCTGACTTCCAAACAATCTTAATATATGATCCTGATAGTAGCAACTCTGGTCTATCAGACTTCTACAATCAGTAAAATAAATAATAAAAGAATGGACTTCTATACATCTTAATATCTTATGCACAAAGTGCTTCTAATCTATTAATTTGTCTACAAGTTCCAATAAATAAGCAAAACAAACAAAGCTTGACTTCCAAGCAATCTTTCTTTTGATGCAAACAGTAAATCTAATCTATTAACTTGCCTGTATTTTTTAACCAAAAAAATATTTCATTTTTAAGAGCTTTTAGCATTTGATTCTTATTGAATCTAGTCTTAATGTGTTACTTTATTGTAATTAAAAACAAGAAAAAGAAATAGGCTAATTTCTTCACAAGCTAAATATTTGATGAACAAAGTATCTTTCTTGTAAAATACACAGATTTGTACATGACAGTAATATTTTAAACACACAGTATCTCTAGTCTTTTAACTTAAGTGAAATATTTTTGTTTTTGACAACCTAATCAAAACATGAAAATGTACTATTGGATTTATGTAGGCTAAGGTGAGCTAAATGAAATAGCAATAAAAATTAGGTTTATCATTTTACATATTTCAACATGTAATTTCAATATGTGTGTGTTATTATATGAATTACTTCATGTTGTGAATTTAGCACATGGATTTAGGAATAACCCAAATCTCCTAAGCAGGCTAAACCTTGAGAGTTGTTATTAGGATTATGGCTAAAAATATCACTAACAGCAGAGGTATGCAAGTGATTAATGAATAGATTCTAATCAATAATCATTATAATTTTTGTTTTATGACAATGCATGCTCCTTGTTAGAATACTATATTACTTTAGCTACATTAATAATTAGATTAATTTTATTTTTGACTTATGAATGTAACTTGCTCTGATCAAGTTAATGATAATTACAAAAGGGGAAAAATAGCAGTTTTTCAACTGTTACACTGTTAACTTTTCTATAATTTGTGATAAGTTAGGAGGAAAATGCTTGACTTCTATACAATCTCAATATTTGGTGCTTGATGCTTTATGTCTATTAATGTTTCTATACTTTGCAAAAACAATAACTTGATTCCTAAATTAACTTGACATTTATGCATGTAGGGAATCTCACTTATTAACTTGTTCATATTCTGCAATAACAGAAATAATCTTTCTTCTATGTGGTCTTAATATTTGATGCATATATAATGAAACTAGTCTTGCGATAATTCAGAAAAGAGAAGTGACTTCTGGTAAATCTATATGATCCAGATGTTTAGTTTATAAAATGAATCTAGTTTATTAATCTGTTCATATTTTACATTAAATAAACAAAACAGTAGCTTGACCTCTACAGAATATTAATATTTGATTCGTATTAACATGTCTATATAGTGAAATAAATAAGCAAAAAAAAGCTTTATTTCAAGGCCATCTTAAATGAATAATATTTTATGCTTATAGTAAGAAGTTTATTAACTTATATATACCTTGCAATAAATAAACAAGAAAACTTTGACTTCTACACAATCTCAATATTTATTTCTTACCATGCCTATGTTAATTTTTCTAAATCTTGTAAAAAATAACTTGATTTCTAAACAGTATTAATATATCTGTATGTAGAGAATCTAGCCCAGAGTCTATATTCTGTAATAAATAACTAAGCAAGAAAAAAGCTTGCTTCCACATGTTTCAATATCTGATACACAACCTTAAGGTCTAGCAACAGAATTAGCATAATGTCTGATATAGAATTTTAGGTTCATCTCATCTTATGCACAGATTAACAAATACTTTGGCAACAAAGAACCATAAAACAGCTTCTACCCCTTGTGGTACCATAACCATTAACTTGATGTTCAGTTTCAGTGTAACTAATAACCTAAGACCAATTATTTCGTATATAACTCTTATGACCTTGAGCTTTTTAATAAAAGATAATACTCAAGTACCAAAAATTTATAAAGCCTAGTTTATATTATTAAAAATATGAACTCAAGTAAGTTCAAATTTTTTATTAAAATTGTAAATGCTTGAGTAGCTGGTGGCAGCTAATTGCAGCAAACGCATACACTATTGCTCCTGTAGCCTGCAAATCTCCTCAAAGCTGGGAAGGTCTATGGAATATACAGTAACAATAACAATATTTTCATGCAGTTGATCCACTTAGTAACAATTAACACTTAGACTGCCTTTTTCTATAATTATACATATTAAGTTTAACAAACAAGTCACGAGAATTTAAATTATGGTAAAATATAAGAATAATACTGTATATATTTCAATGATTCATCCAGTGTTTCAGATATGCTTTTGACAGTACGAGTACTTTACTCCTGGAAATAAACTGCAATTTTGAAAAGAAGCATATTTTTAGGTTTCAGTTACTTTTTCATCATCTAACACCTGACATTTTGCTGTGTTCACTAGGCCCTTGTTCTTACTTCTATATTATTGTCCTATTAAGGACTGCCTGAAGCAATTACAGGTAAATTCAATACAGTAAGCATTTCATTGACACTGATCAATAAAATTAGGCTGGTATAATGTTCATTTAAACTATAGTCTTGAATTACAGAAAATTACCAGCCAGCAATTGCTGTATAACTTATATTTGAATTTTTCCTTTTTAGAATCTATGAATGATGCACAGGCCTAATCTATCATTCAATCCACTACTACTTCTGTGGCAAACTATGATTGTAAAACTTTTCATCAAATCTTGCAAACTACTGTATAACTAGACAATCAGTTTATGGTGAGAATGATCTTCTATTCTGTGCGTGTTTTATTATTGATACAAGTTTCTTGTATCTTTTGGACTGCTAATCATGCACATGATATACGTACCAGCAAATAGTACGTGTATTTGGTATGCAAATTTATTATTTCTGATGTGTTTTAGCAAAAATAAATGTTTTATTTATGTAGATACACATAAATAACTGGAGCAGTCACCTATCAGATGCCCTCACTGTTAAAACTGTGTTCTGTCATAATTTCTCTAACATTTCACATGGTCCAACAAGGGTAAGAGAATAAAATCAGTTCTAACAAACCAATGCCCTATATCAGTGTTTCTCAACTAGTGGGAAGTTTTGAAAATAATTAAGTATTCCAAAAAAAAAAAGAGTGTTGCCTCGTTGTGTCTTTCATGCCTATTAATTATTTTTAACCTACAAAAAATTAGGTAAAAATCATATTTAAAATTATGATATTAACAGATTATACATATATATGTGCTACTCAGTTACCAGTAGGGGAGGGTGGGGATGTTTCAGCCAGTGGCATTCTTGTGAAAGGTAGGGGGCCTGTAGGCTCAAGATTCATCAAACTGAGAGAAATTTAAGTGTTTCTTGGTTCAAAAGAAATCTAAGTTAGCTGAGTTATTCGACAATATCAATTGAATTTCAAAATTGGCATATATGGCAGACACAGTTGGGCTCCTAAATGAACTGATTTTGCACATGCATGGCCAATTGACTTCATTTTTCTGCCTTGCAACCAAGATAGAGCCTTTCAAAAATAAATAGGTTGTTTGGAAAAAAAAAGGTTGATGGCGGAATACTTGATATGTTTCTCTGCTTTCCAGATGCAGCAGAAAACACCAAATGTGACATCCATAATACTGCTAAGCTTGTTTCAGAACATTTGGATAAGCATGAGGCCAAATCTAATGAATATCTTCCATCTGAATATGATTCTCATATTGGATTTTTGTGGGCAATGGATTCATTCATTCTTGCAGTGAAATAAATAAACTCTCACTTTCAGTCTCATTGATTTAGCAAGCAATCCACCATAGAAAGAATTATTCAAGAGTCTGCCTTTAGGTACTATCTGGCTTAAAATTAAGACCGAATATGAACAACTTAGCAAAAGTTATTACGAAACTACTACCCTTTTCTTCCACATATCTTCCATAGCAACTACAAAAACAAAGGAAAGAAACCATCTTCAACTTGAAGCAGCTCTTCCAGTATCTACTTCAAATGTTACCCCAAGAATTTACATGCTTATAAACATAAAAATACACTTCTAGAAAAAAGTGGGGGTTTTGTTTTTATCATGGTAGGACCAGTGGTTTTTGACAAAATGGTTGGTGGGATGTAAGATGTAAAAAGGTTTAGAACTGCTGCCATATATAACAGTACAAAATACTGAACTTACAAACACAAGTATTCATACATCATCATAATACCCTAAATTTCAAATATAAAATACATTTTCCCATGTAGTCTGGGGAAATTAATCAATTAAAAATATGATTATTTACAAAGGAAGCTTCTTATGCAGAAAGTTACACTCACAAAAATATATATAGGGCAGCAACCACATCCTTCTCTCTCTCATGTTCATTTGAACCATTGCTACAGAAATGACTAAATTATCTTTGGTAAACTGTTGGAGAAACTGATTACACAAAATGGACACATTCCAATTAGAAACTTTTGTTTTCTAAGGAGGGATAGTTTCAAGCAATATCATTATGAAGGATCACAAAGATATGAAACCCAATAACTCGAGTGCTTTCAAAAAGTGGACCTTTCTTCTTCTGGGGAAAACTGGAAGGATCAACTGCTTTGTGAAAAGCAAGCACCCAAACACTAGATATAGACAACTTCATCTACAAAATTTACTGAAATAAAGTTTAAAATGATAATTCCTTTACACCATGTACATTGGAAAAATAAACAATAAACAAACATGTTTTGTGGAAATCTCATAAGTTATGCATTACTTACTTTCTATCTGCTAATGTAACACCCATTACATGCCAAATCATAATACATTATGTGTTTCAATGAGACTACAACACTATGCATATTCAGTTGTGTTTATATCCTCTACTACAAAATGCTGAAGTGATGTATATTATATTACGAAACCTTTTAAAAACTTCCACCAAATTACAAAAAAAGATTATCTAGGATCCTGTTATTTTTGTATAAATGATCAGATGAGTCTTTCTTCTATGATTAGACACACAGAAGAAAACTGGTTTCTAGTTATTTCTTTACCAACTTATGTCGTAGATCTTTGATTTTATCTGAAAACAAGAAGTTAATCATTAGAGTGAAAGTTCAAATCCATAAAGATCAAAATCATTATCTTGTTTTTTTTTATTTTGTCATGTTGTTAAGCCAGATAACAATAATGTCCAAAAAGATTCACCTTTATTTGACTTTTTTTAATACCTATGCTTCAACCAATAATAGATTTTTTTATAGCTAAGTTATACCTCAAACGGATACATGTTAGATTACCTTTCCTGTTCAATTATGGTAAATTTTCAGTACCAATTTAATTCTAATAACTGTAATTAGATGCATTTCAAAGTAAAGTACACACCATAAAGAGAAATGAAAACAACAATGCTAGCTGGACCCCAGTACATATTATAACTTTTGTCATCTTTTGCGTATAAACATAATAATTAATACTTTAATTCTCTCACCTTTTTTATGGATGTAAAGAAAAATTGGATAAGACAGTGCAAATCCAAAAATGTAATATTTCAAAAACCAGTTCTTTGTAAAATGGAATTTGTATGGAAACTGTGCAATTTTTGCAGAAAATGTGTAAGGGTATTTCATAGGTCTGCTTGGAGCTGTCTGTGCCATTATTTTCTAGTAAAAAAAGAAAAAGTTAAGCAATCAAATAATAAAATATTACTTAAAATGAACTTAAGAATATTTTAAATAAAGTAAAATTAAGACAGTCTTAAAATTAATCATGTAAGGTTTAAACACTTAATAATCTTTATTATAAAACCTAATGAAAAAAAAATTATAATTTGACATACTTTAGATTTTCATATTAGCAAGCCATCACAGGAAAATAGCAACTAGATTTACAATAAGCCATTTGAATCTGTCTGTTGCTTGGACTGTGAAATTATTATTCAATACATTACAATAACTAGAATACTACATGTATATAAATAAAACCTTTAACACAAAGAGTACTTAGCGAAATTTTTTTATTAACTATTGAAATTTTTAAAAGTCATGTACAGTACTTTGAATAAACTTGTTTGACCCTGACCTCTAGGTTAAAATAACTTATGGTGTGAATGTCTTTTACAAACTGGTGAAGCATAATTATACTTATATTAGGTTGCCAAGAAATTAATGATGCTTTTTTTAGATGAAAAAACCTGAACAACTTATATATCAAAACAAAACATTTATTATATAAAGTAGTCTATTCTTAATGATGATGCTTTTCCATCTTACAGTCAGGTTTTTAATGCTCTGATCAAAGAAATCACTTGATTTTGAAGCAAAAAATATGTCAATGTCCTCTTTAACACCTTCCACAGACGTTTTCCAATTAAGATGGTGTTGCAGCGAACAAAAAAGATGGTAATTTGATGGTGTCATATCTGGAGAAAATGGTGGGTGGGGGAGAACTTCCCAACCCAACTACATAATCTTGTTGCATCAAATGTGTCACATGTAGACATGCATTGTCATGGAGAAGAACACCTTTCCAACTGACGAGTGAAGGGCATTT